TTCTTAAGTTGAATCTGTATGTAAGTCAGAACTGGCATCCAGATTCAGCCGCGGTTGAAACTGATCAGTTTCAGCAGCGGCTGACGCCAGTTCCGACTTACATACAGATTCAACTTAAGAACAAACCTACAGTCCCTATCTTGTACGTAACCCAGGGACTGCCTGTATATAGGAAGCCTCTGATAAAACTTTTAGGTCTATTGAATCACCAGGACTTAAAAGAAGTCAGAACTGGCATCCAGATTCAGCCGCGGTTGAAACTGATCAGTTTCAGCAGCGGCTGACGCCAGTTCCGACTTACATACAGATTCAACTTAAGAACAAACCTACAGTCCCTATCTTGTACGTAACCCAGGGACTGCCTGTATATAGGAAGCCTCTGATAAAACTTTTAGGTCTATTGAATCACCAGGACTTAAAAGGAGAAATTAAGGAAGATTGCTGACTGGAATCTAAATAATTTCCTTTCATCAGGCTTTAGCATGGAGGATGTAGATAAGAGTTATCTATCCTAGACCCGCTTTCTTCTGTAATAAAGATGAATTATTCAGAGATGTGTGCATTAAAAAAAAAGTGGTGCTAGAGCATATGATAAAGTAGAAAGCTGACACTTTTCCTTTACAGTCGCCAGCACTAGTTTGTGCCCCGCATTTGATGTTAACCTCTGGTTTTGTAGTTTACCTGAATTTGAAGTCAGACCCGCTGGTCTGCAGTAACTTTAGACAGTTGTAGCTTTAATTGTACCAGATGGATACAAACATTTGCTCACCGCCCCCCCCCCCAATTACATTTACAACAGGTAGTTTTAAAGAGGAATGGTCTGGTTTGGTTAGCAATTCAGCCACCTCGCTCTTCCATTCCTTTCCTGCGCTCCCAGGCATGCGATGAAATTAAGAGGTAACTGGCTGCAACTAGATGTGTTTCAGCAAACCCTGTGTCGACACCAGATCTGTACCAGCCCCTGCGTGGCGCTACCGGAGGGAGGCCGGGGCGGACGTGCCCTGCAGCCCGGGGGAACCGCCCGCCAAGCGCGCCTTTACCAGCAGATGTGGCTGCACAGGTCCTTCTCCCTCAGGAACGCGGCGCAGCGGGGGCGGCCGGGCCCTGCAGCCCGGGGGAACCGCCCGCCAAGCGCGCCTTTACCAGCAGATGTGGCTGCACAGGTCCTTCTCCCTCAGGAACGCGGCGCAGGTGCAGGAGTGAGGCTGCCCCAGGAAGACCTTGGGAAAGAAGCGCGGGGTTGGTGGCGGCGCAGCTGAGCTGGAGCCGCGGGAAGGACATCGCGGCAGGCCCAGAGC